GAAAAAAAAATTGGTTTTTTTAATTTAATAAAATAGTTTTAAAAAATTAGCACTTAGTATAGGTATATTTTTTGTAATTTAAGATTTATTTTTTTTTTATATTTTTTTAATATTTTATTAACAGAAAAAAAATACCATGCAAAGAAAATAAATTAAAAAAAATAGAGATTTTTATTTAGCATTTAGTTTTTAATATAGGTATTTCTATAATTTTTATATAATGTAATTATATTATTTATTATTTTTTTTTTTTTATTAACAGAAAAAACACAGATAGTGGAAAATAATAATAAATAAAGTAGTTTTTTTTTTGTAGCACTTAGTTTTTTTTAGATATATATGTTAATTTTTTTTTTTTTATATTTTTTTGTAATTATATTTTTTATTTTTTTTAAAATTATATTTTTATATATTTTTTATTTTTTAATATTTTTTTTTTAATATTTATTAACAGAAAAAAAAAACACTGTGCAAAGAATATAAATAAAAAAAAAATAGAGATGCAAAATGTAGCATTTAGTAAAAATATAGGTATTTCTATAATATATTATAATGTAATATAATATGTTTTATATTATTTATTTTATTTTTAATATTTATTAACAGAAAAAAAAACACAGATAGTGGAAAATAATAATAAAACAAAAAGTAATAAAAAAATGTAGCACTTAGTATAGGTATATATGTGTAATTATTTAGGTATATATAATATATATAATTATATAGGTATATGTGTGTAATTTAGATATTGATTATTATAGTGATAAAAAATGTAGCACTTAGTAAAAATATAGAAGTAAACCATTAAATTAAAAAAACTAAGCTACCTTTAACTACACCCCATTAATTAACAGTAGAATTTTTTTTTTTTTTTGCAAATTTTGTCAATGGTGTAATTGGTAATTTTGTAACAAAATCAATTTTGTCACCATCCCTCAGCTCATCCCCAGTGGGCAATTTCCAACCAAACGATTGTCTGGTGTCCTGTTAACATACACCGGTGTTCCGTGTTTGCTGCCTACCTTCCAGTGTATTTGCTCAATGAAGCGTAGCACAGACTGTAATTTTAACGTCGTTTTCTCGTGCGAGTGATGTGCTGCGAGGATTGACATGTTTGTACAGTCTAAGTGTATAGATATAAGTGGGCATATATTCCGGCTGCTCAGTTTCCATGGATACTTGGAGAGATGCTGGCTCTATTGTGTTAATTCCGAGAATACGTTCGACAAATAAATACTTAAGGTAGCACATTTTCTGTACGGTTGGGTTTATTTATAGCAGGGAACATTGACCATTAAGAGCTATTGGCCTTGATAAAATTAGCAGGAAGGTGACAACAACATTACGCCGCTACGTTACGCCGCTACCGGTGTCGTGATGTCTTCAAAGAGCAGTTCCAGTTCTGACAAATCTGCTCTTGCGAAGCCACGCCGGTGAGATCATCATTTATACAAAAATGAGTTGTCTACTTTAGTCACTCAGGCTGTCTGTAAACGTGTAGTTGTCTCCGTAACCGGGGTTAACACATTACAACAATGGTTTATGGGAAGGTTGGGTGTTTATATGGAGGGAGAGGCTTCTCTAATGGCAACTACACCATAGCAGAATGGGAGTTCTTTTCCAGATGCTTTCCACAAAGCTGAAGTTCTTCTAACTTCTAAGCCATGCTCTCCTCTTGGTGTCCCCAAGTCAATGATTTTTTTCCTTCACCATGAACATTAAAAGCTCACTAGGCCTTAAGCTTTATATCCAACTGCTGACTTTCCACAAGCACCTCAACCTGCAGCTCTCCAGATGGTTCTTCCAAAGTCTTGGGACAAACACCCATTTTGGGGTGCCTGAGTCTACGTGCTTCTCTTCAGCTTGGACAGAACCTCACTAAGTCTTCAGCTTAATATCTTTCTACCAGTGGTTTTCTTCAAGCACCTAATGCTGCAGCTCTCTCGATGGATCTCACAAACGCTAGGGCCACACATTCCTCCTGGCGTGTCCAAGTCTGCGTGCTTTCCTTTACCATGGACTCTACTTCACTGGGTCTCCAGCTTATTATCATCCTACTAGTACCTTTCCTCACTAGTACCTTTCCTCAAGGACCTCATAGTACCAGATAGATCTCACTGACCCTTGGACCAAACACCCCTTTTTGGCCTGCCCAAGTCTACATGCTTTCCTTTACTATGGACAGGACCTCACTGGGCCTCCAGCTTAATATCTCCCTGGTAAAGGTTTTTCACAAGTACCTAATGCTGCAACTTTCTAGATTGATCTTACAAACTCTTGGGCCACACTCCCTTCCTGGTGTGCCCGAGTCTGCTTGCTTTCCTTCCCAATGGACAGGACCTCACTGGATCTCCATCTTATTATCTTTGTAATAGTGCCTTTCCACAAGGACGTCATACTGCAGCTTCCTAGATAGACCTCATAAACTCTTGGGCAAAGCATCCTCTAGGTTTGACCAAGTCAACATGCTTTTGTTTGTCATGGACAGGACCTCACTAGGCCTCAAGCTTATTACCCTTTCCAACGGTGCTTCTCAAGCTTTTCATGGACAGAACCTCATTAGGTCCTGAGCTGATTAACCTTCCACTGGTGCCTATCAAGCTTGTCATGGACAGGACGTCATTAGGACCTGAAATTATTTCCCTTCCACCGGTGCCTCTCCAACTTGTCAAGCTGGAGAGGCCCAATGGAAGGGTAATAAGCTCGGGACCACATGAGGTCCTGTCCATGACAAGTTGGAGAGGCACCAGTGGAGTGGTTATAAGCTTAAGGCCTTGTGAGGTCCTGTCCATGACAAGCTAGAGAGGCCCAATGGAAGGGTAATAAACTCAGTCTGTAATGCGGTCCTGTCTATGCCAAGCTTGATAGGCACCAATGGAAGGGTAATCAGCTCAGGACCTAATGAGGTTCTGTCCATTACAAGCTGGAGAGGCCCATTGGAATGGTAATAAGCTCATGACCAAATGAAGTCCTGTTCATGACAGGCTGGAGAGGCACCTGTAGATGGGTAGTCAGCTCAGGATCTAATGAGGTTCCATCCACGACAAAGATGAGAGGCACTAATGGAAGGGTAATAAGCTTGAGTCCTCATGAGGTTCTGTCAATGACAGGCTTGATAGGCACCAGTGGAAGGCTAATCAGCTCAGGCCCTATTGAGATTCTGTCCTTGTCATGGACAGGATCTCACGTGGTCCCGAGCTTATTACCCTTCCATTGGGCCTCTCCAGCTTGACAAGGACAGAATCTCAATAGGTCCTGAGCTGATTAGCCTTCCACTGGTGCCTATCAAGCCTGTCATTCACAGAACCTCATGAGCACTCAAGCTTATTACCCTTCCATTGGTGCCTCTCATCTTTGTCGTGGATGGAACCTCATTAGATCCTGAGCTGACTACCCATCCACTGGTGCCTCTCCAGCTTGCCATGAACAAGACTTCATTTGGTCATTAACTTATTACCATTCCACTGGGCCTCTCCAGCTTGTAATGGACAGAACCTCATTAGGTCCTGAGCTGATTACCCTTCCATTGGTGCCTATCAAGCTTGGCATAGACAGGACTGCATTACAGACTGAGTTTATTACCCTTCCAATTGGGCCTCTCTAGCTTGTCGTGGACAGGACCTCACTTGACCCTGAGCTTATTACCCTTCCATTGGGCCTCACCAGCTTGTCATGAACAAGACATCACTAGAACTTAGGTCACCCATATCACCCAGTGTTCTATCACTTTCTATGGCCTTCCCTGATCTGATTTCCATCCCAAATGCTGCAGAAAAACTAGACGACCTTTTATTTTAAGGTGACCAATGTCCACACAACTGCAATCAGCTTTTTAATTCATTAATCTGAGCCTATTGGACACCAGAAGTTCTCCAATTTACAGTTCAAGTATAGGGCTCACATCAGGATCAATGTTCCCACGATCACACTTTGGCTGCTTGCTCTGCACAGAGAACTGGTGACTCTTCCTCCTTGCCTCAACCCCATAGATCCAACATGCTCGATGAACCATGGAGGGGAAAGGGGTGCACAGCCAATGTGCCAGACTCTTACCTTGTGACTTGCTACAAAGTTACAATGTTGAAGTATGATTACTGGGGTAGAGGAGATTCAAGAAATACTTCCTCCTGCCTGCAGTAGACTGATGTCATCATCTCAGCCTAGGCAAATTCATTTACTGGAGCTGAAGGGCGGCCTTTTAAAGATGGTGGAGATTTTGATAGAAAAATTATACTGTTACTGTATACTGTGACATGTCAGCAGTTATTAAACATTTATTGTTTGAGAATAGCAACATCTTGTACTTAAAAGCAACTGCAGTGATAAATCTGGTAATCATGAGATTCAGGGTGCCTGTAGTCATTAGATGACATCCCGATCATTTGTTTTTTCGTCTGATCGGGCAATCATTAAGTGTCTGTGGGGCAACACATGACCGCTCTGGGGCAAAAAACGATGGGGCAACCTTCCCCAGACCCTAATATTTTCCTCAAGGCCATGACTGTCTCTACACAGGGCTCACTCCTCATCCTAGGCCCGAATGGTTGTGTGTCTAGATCAGTGCTTCTCAACCTTTTTTCAGTCAAGGCACCCTTTAAAAATATGGACAGTCCCGAGGCACCCTTTAAAATTATGGACACTTCCGAGGCACCCTTTAAAATTATGGACACTTCCAAGGCACCCTTTAAAATTATGGACAGGCCCGAGGCACCCTTTAAAATTATGGACAGTTCCGAGCAGGACCACTTATGTATTCATACACGGTGACCTTAACCCCCCCACACAATCTCCTGTTCTCAAGGATTCTGGACCACATCAGGGGCGGACTGACAACTCATGGGGCCCTCGGGCAATAGGGGATCATGGGGCCCCTGTGTACTTGCCCAAATTCAAAAAAGCCTATGAAAAAGGTACCAGGGGCATCTCATGGGGCCCCCTACTGTGCCCGAGTTTCCAAATGGTCAGTCCGCCCCTGGTTCCGAGGTACCCTTTAAAATTATGGACAGTCCCCAGGCACCCTTTAAAATTATGGACAGTTCTGAGGCACCCTTTAAAATTATGGACATTCCCGAGGCACCCTTTAAAATTATGGACAGTTCTGAGGCACCCTTTAAAATTATGGACAGTTCTCAGGCACCCTTTGAAATTATGGACAGTTCTCAGGCACCCTTTAAAATTATGGACACTTCCGAGGCACCCTTTAAAATTATCGACAGTCCCGAGGCACCCTTTAAAATTATCGACAGTCCCGAGGCACCCTTTAAAATTATCGACAGTCCCGAGGCACCCTTTAAAATTATCGACAGTCCCGAGGCACCCTTTAAAATTATCGACAGTCCCGAGGCACCCTTTAAAATTATCGACAGTTCCGAGGCACCCTTTAAAATTATGGACAGTCCCAAGGCACCCTTTAAAAATATGGACAGTCCCGAGGCACCCTTTAAAATTATGAACAGTGCTGAGGCACCCTTTAAAATTATGGACAGTCCCGAGGCACCCTTTAAAATTGTGGACAGTTCTGAGGCACCCTTTAAAATTATGGACAGTTCTGAGGCACTCTTTAAAATTATTGACAGTCCCGAGGCACCCTTTAAAATTATGGACAGTCCCGAGGCACCCTTTAAAATTGTGGACAGTTCTGAGGCACCCTTTAAAATTATGGACAGTCCCGAGGCACCCTTTAAAATTATGGACAGTCCCGAGGCACCCTTTAAAATTATGGACAGTCCCGAGGCACCCTTTAAAATTGTGGACAGTTCTGAGGCACTCTTTAAAATTATTGACAGTTCTGAGGCACCCTTTAAAATTATGGACAGTTCCGTGGCACCCTTTAAAATCCTGGACAGTCCCGAGGCACCCTTTAAAATCCTGGACAGTGCCGAGGCACCCTTTAAAATCCTGGACAGTCCCGAGGCACCCTTTAAAATCCTGGACAGTCCCGAGGCACCCTTTAAAATCCTGGACAGTCCCGAGGCACCCTTTAAAATCCTGGACAGTCCCGAGGCACCCTTTAAAATCCTGGACAGTCCCGAGGCACCCTTTAAAATCATGGACAGTCTTGAGGCACCCTTTAAAATTATGGACAGTCTTGAGGCACCCCATTCTAAAATGTGAAAAACTATTCTAATAGTTTTATATACCTCAGCAACATCCACACATGTAGGACACCCAACATTAGAGGTGATTTATTCTTCCAGAGCAAACACACTTTAGCACGCTGGGACTGACTAGTATCCCAATGTTTCTCTTCTCCCTCAGTTTTTCTCCATCACTGAGTTAATGTGACCCCAGCACTGATGGAGAGAGGCAGGGGAGGGTCAAACTAGGATGCTGTGCAGGCAACTGAAATCCTCCTTATCAACTGATGTCATTGGTTGTCAGGAAGCCGGTGGCTAGAAGATCCTAAATGGTGCGCAATGAAAACTTGCAACTTTGTATAACTAACAAGCAGGCTTGTTCCAGGCTTGTATACAGGTTTTGGGCAATTTTTAGACATTTTGCCAAGGCACCCCTGAAGAAACCTCAAGGCGCCCCAGGGTGCCTGGGCACCCTGGTTGAGAAAGGCTGGGCTAGAGCTGGGGTCTCCAAACGTTCTAAATAAGGGGCCAGTTTACTGTCCTTCAGACATTTGGTGGGCCGGACTGTGGCCAGTGGGAGTAGAAAATGTCTTGGCATCAGCAGGAGAAAACAGTGCCCCATCTTTGGTGTCAGTGAGAGGAATTGTGCCCCGCTGTTGGTGTCATTGGGAGGAATTGTGCCCTGCCCCACCATCGGTGCCATTTAAAAAAAAAAAACTTCTGCCTTTAGAACCACTTTAACCACTTCCCGTGTAGCCCATGTATATAAACGGCTGGACAGGAGCAGTGCAGGGGCCGTTGGCCGTTTATAAATGGACCCCCTGTTTGTGCGCACTCCCCGGGAGCGCGCGGCACCGCGATCCGGTGCCCGCTGTGTCCTCTGGGCACAGTGGAAAACCAATCGTTGTACGGGACCTCTGGGTGAGGTCCCGATCATATAATCACTGATTGGCCAATCAGTGATCACATGCATAGTAGTAAGCAAGATGTCACTTCTGACATGTGAGCTCTGTGAATGATCACAGAGATCACATGGTACAGGGCTATTCACAAAAGCCTTGTACCATGTGACAAGCTGTGACCAATCACAGCTCTCACAGTATTTACTCAATGGCTGCAAGAATGCAGCCAGAGAGAAGGAGAAATGATTGCTTTTACAGCCTTTAATTGTGTAAAAGCAATCAGTGTAAAAAAATAAAAAAAAATCTTCATCACCCCTCACAAGTAGTACCATGGTGACACTGTACTGCTAGGGTGACAGCATGTAAAAAAACAACAACAAAAAAACAAATAATATTAAAAAAATGTAAAAAAAAAAATTAGAAAAATTATAATTTTTGGTTATAAACTAATTTGGGTTATTTTTTACTAAAAAGATAACTGAATACATTTTGGCCAAGATTTATGAAGAAAGATTATTTATCTGCAAAATTGTATAAGAAAAACACTTTTTTTCTAACTTTTTGGACTTTTTCATTCATATAGCAAAAAAAAAAATAGAAAAATCCCAGCGGTGAATAAATACCACCAAAATAAAGTTTTATCTGTTTCAAAAAAATGCTAAAAAACTCATATGGGTACAGTGTTGCATGACTGCGCAATTGTCATTCAAAGTGTGATAGTGCAGAAAGCTGAAAATTGGCCTGGACAGGGAGAAGGTGAAAGTGTCCGGACTGGAAGGGGGTGAAAGTGTCCGGACTGGAAGGGGGTGAAAGCGTCTGGAGAAGGGGGTGAAAGCGTCTGGACTGGAAGGGGGTGAAAGCGTCTGGACTGGAAGGGGGTGAATGTGTCCGGACTGGAAGGGGGTGAAAGTGTCCGGACTGGAAGGGGGTGAAAGCGTCTGGACTGGAAGGGGGTGAAAGCGTCCGGACTGGAAGGGGGGTGAAAGGGTCCGGACTGGAAGGGGGGTGAAAGGGTCCGGACTGGAAGGGGGGTGAAAGGGTCCGGACTGGAAGGGGGGTGAAAGCGTCCGGACAGGAAGGGGGGGGGAGAGCGCGTCCGGACTGGAAGGGGGGTGAAAGCGTCCGGACTGGAAGGGGGGTGAAAGCGTCCGGAAAGGGGGGGTGAAAGCGTCTGGACTGGAAGGGGGGTGAAAGCGTCCGGACAGGAAGGGGGGGAGAGCGTCCGGACTGGAAGGGGGGTGAAAGCGTCCGGACTGGAAGTGGTTAAAGATCCACTTAAAGGGGCACCAGGGCTGGGTGGGAAAGGGTTAACCCAGAAAAATGTCCTCCAACCCTCAGCATTGTCTGTTTACTCTGACGCAGGAGACGCAGACCGCGGTACGGGTTTCTTGCTCTGAAAGCCCAGGGATATTTTGATTCGTTATCAGGGATATAGTACAAGCTGAACGCTGGCAGAGAAAGACATCAGCATTCGGGATGACGGAGCCCTAAAGTCAAAATGTATTTATCATGGAGTGTGCGCAATACCGGCTGCCTGGACTGTGCTTTGTGTATCTGGGATCACATGGCATTGTCCTATGAAGGCAATGTTGTGCTGTTACGGCTATAAGGAGACCAGCCTCGTGTGTCGGTGTCATTGGGTGCAGATTTGTGGTGAGAAGGAGTCTATAATGAGGGATTTGGATGCATGCGGTGTAGATTTTTGCATGCATCTAAACCAGGGCTGTCTTAATAGCATCATGGGCCCCTGGGCAAAGTAATGCACTGGGGCCCCTACCAGCCTGCCCCAATTTACGCACCTACTCTCAAGCATTAAGATATAAATAGTTGATAGAATTGAACATATATTTATTAGTACTTTCTATTAAATTCATTTTAAACAATAGGAAAACATGCTATAAATCATAGACGCAAAGGGCACAGTGCAGGGGGAAGGGGAGTCAGGAGGGCACAGTACAGGGGGGAGTCAGGAGGGCACAGTACAGGGGGAAGGGGAGGCAGGAGGGCACAGTGGGGGGAAGGGGAGGCAGGAGGGCACAGTACAGGGGGAGTCAGGAGGGCACAGTACAGGGGGGAGTCAGGAGGGCACAGTACAGGGGGGAGTCAGGAGGGCACAGTACTGGGATCAGGAGGGCACAGTACAGGGGGAGTCAGGTGGACACAATACTGGGATCAGGAGGGCACAGTACAGGGGGAGTCAGGAGGGCACAGTACAGGGGGGGAGTCAGGAGGGCACAGTACAGGGGGTGTCAGGAGGGCACAATACTGGGATCAGGAGGGCACAGTACAGGGGGAGTCAGGAGGGCACAGTACAGGGAGGAGTCAGGAGGGCACAGTACAGGGGGGAGTCAGGAGGGCACAGTACAAGGGGAGTCAGGAGGGCACAATACTGGGATCAGGAGGGCACAGTACAGGGGGGAGTCAGGAGGGCACAGTACAGGGGGTGTCAGGAGGGCACAGTACAGGGAGGAGTCAGGAGGGCACAGTACAGGGGGGAGTCAGGAGGGCACAGTACAGGGGGTGTCAGAGGGCACAGTACAGGGGGGAGTCAGGAGGGCACAGTACAGGGGGGAGTCAGGAGGGCACAGTACAGGGGGGAGTCAGGAGGGCACAGTACAGGGGGGAGTCAGGAGGGCACAGTACAGGGGGGAGTCAGGAGGGCACAGTACTGGGGGAGTCAGGAGGGCACAGTACTGGGATCAGGAGGGCACAGTACTGGGGGAGTCAGGAGGGCACAGTACTGGGATCAGGAGGACACAGTACTGGGGGAGTCAGGAGGGCACAGTACTGGGATCAGGAGGACACAGTACTGGGGGAGTCAGGAGGGCACAGTACTGGGATCAGGAGGGCACGCTACTGGGGGAGTCAGAACGGCACAATACTGAGATCAGAAGGGCACAGTACAGAGGGAGTCAGGAGGGCACAGCACAAGTTGTGGGAAGCTGCCAGGGCCATCTCCGGACAGCTTAGTAAAAATCGTGACTGTCCCGGCAAATCCAGGACAGTTGGTTAGTAAATGTAATGCAAGATTATCATGGGGCCCCCATGCACCTGAGGCCCCTGGGCAGTGCCCATGCATTAGGACAGCCCTGATCTAAACACAGCACAATAGGAAATAATCTGGCCATAAACATGGCTGCGACTACAAATGAAAATGTGCGCCATAGAAAAAAGTAGGACACAGCTGCGTCTCGGGCCGTACATATTTGCAGGTTTTACATATGTATGTGCGCAAATGCACATTAGCAGACACACGTCAAGCCATCACAAGCATCGTACGCATCTAAATGCATGTCGTTTACGCTGGATCTTCTGCTAGAACTCCTCCGCACGAACTTACAGAAAATACGCCTCTGGCCGTGTGAATGAGCCACAAAAACACTTTTCTTTTCCTAATATTCGTAGAGTCTTGCACCACGTTAGCCATTGATTCATTCAGAAAGTTGGGAGTTTAAGGGATGTATTTCCTAAACATTCGGCGGATGAATGCCACAGGCATTCGTCCAGGCAACGCGAACGTCACCTGTATTTTCTCTAATACTATGACTTCCTATGATTGTCAGCTACATCTAGTGGTCAGAACGTGGTATATTTTCTGACTACACCCATAAAGTCATTCTAAGAATTTTATGTCTAAATTCTTCTAAAT